AGAATAGATTGTGAGGAATTAGGAATGGGGCTGTGGCCGAGCCTCATCCCTAATAGGGTGCAGCTGTGCAAGACAGGTACCATCACTGACGGAAAAGAATCATGGAATGCTGATTTGTATTGACCAATCACAAAAGAGTAAAACGACACACGGGTGTTATGCATGTGAGAAACAGGGTATAGAAGGTTGTAGAAACAGGGTATAGAAGGTTGTACAGGGAATAATAAAGTGCTGATTCTTGAAACTATTCTTAGTGTCAGTCATGTGTCCTCCATCAAGATTTCAGTATTGCTATAAGATTAAAAAGTCAACAATTTATCTCAAGATGTGCCTGCACTCATCATTTTGTTTTTATTTGCAGTGAAATGTACCTCCACGGGTAAAAGCATCTCAACTGATGCCCAAGCAGGAGAAGAGAAAAAGGAGTACAAGCCCTCCTAAGATTACAGCCTTTAAGAGCCTCATGGACATCAAAACTATTTTATACCTTCCTTGGGGCAAAACCCCCTCGTATTTCCCAGACAGCTTTCAAAGTCCTCAGCTGTGCCATTTGTATTGTTTCTTGACATGGTAAAACGCTGCTGCATTTTGAGCTTTTGAAAGAGTGGCAAGAAGAACTGAATCTAACAGTTAACTGGAATTGGGGAATGTTGCATGTATTGTGTACGTGTTGAATGCTCTGGTGTAGGAAGGTAATGAATGGGGAGGAGCTTATCAAGGTGCCATTGCACTCCTGCAATTTATCCCAGCTCCTGAGAGCTGTATCTAACAGGATGCTGTTCATACAATCATATGGCTCTGGGAAGATAGTACAGTAGAAAATATATATTATACAATGTGGGGCACAGCACACAAATTAGCACTGAACTTTGTACATCCCAACTGAAAGAGGCAGCTGCTGCCACAGAAGGACATACAAATGCCCTTCCCCCATACAGGCCAGGTGTCTCACAAATATATTTCACATGGGATTAGGAAGGAGGAGTACAGGTAACGTTTTCACTCAAACAAAGGTAAAATTTTTGGTAAGTACCTACTTTGGAAGGAGTTGGAGAAGTTCTCTATAGCCTGTGTAAATTTTTCAGATCAGGATTTTAAAATGCACAGCTCCATGGAGACCTCACCAAGAATTCCTGATTGGAAAACCCATCGCTCTCTACTGCTGCAGCTGCCAAAAAGACAGTGAAAAAAAATATGTCTTTTCCCATCAATAAGGATAATAATTCCCTTCCCCAAGCCCACAATTGTGTGAGTAGCCCACAGTTGTTAACTAGTCTAGGCAAAACAAGTAAGATTGTGTCTGTTTTCAGAAAGTCTGACAGCATGAAGAATTGAGATTGACTTTAAAGTTCCACAAAAATAGACTAAAAAGCTTGGTGGGAGAGAAAAGATCAGGAGAACAGTTCATTGGATTGAGTACTGAGTGAGAAAGGGAACAGGGAGTCAGGTAAAAATGAGGGTGGGTTTTCAAGCCATGAAGACACTTCGGAGTTTGTAAAGCAAAACAAGAGGTAATGAAGGAAAGAAGAGCTGGGTGTTATTTTGGCAGAGGGCTAAATGAAAAAGGGCTACAGTGCATGAGTTAAATTAAGTTAGGCAGCAAAGGATTGGAAATTAAAGATGGGGGAAAAATGATGAATGAAAAATATTTTTGTAAAAACACAGAATATGAAACTTCTAGTAACTGATGCTTTAGTGTTGCTTCTTCCAGAACTTTCATTGTATAAAAATCTGGTCTGTATTTTTCAAAAGCCTAAATATAGGAGGGGAAAATATTCACTGTCAGAGAGCCTTTTTTGATTAACTAAGAAATGCAATGGTAAAATAAACCATTCAGTATTGCAGAAATATTTGTGAATTATCTGAAGCACAAAGTAAAGACCAAATCTGTATCTGCTCCCAGTTCAAACCCACAACAAAGTTGATGGCAGTTTTGAACACCTCAAAATGTATGCAGTGATTGAACATAATATAATGATCAAATGTCAGCCTTAGCTACTGTGAAATGGGTATTCCCCACAAGTCCTGACTATGGTCAGTCTATGCTCTCATTTTCTTAGAGTGGAAGAAGTACCATGATGTGTTCAAGGGCCTCTTTGTGAAAATGGGGTAAGGGGTCTTGGCAAATCAAGGTACATTCATCTGGTTTACCCTCCTGACACATGCTTGAGTACCCAGAAATTATTTGTACCAGTTGAGTTTCTCTAATTGCTTTCAGATCTAGGAGAAGCTTGTTTCACTAAAATTTATCTGTCTCTAGCAATTACTCTGGTTCAGAACTCACTTCTGTTTTAGATTTTGAGGGGAAGAAATAAAGAAGGAAAATATATATTAGGTCTTGGTTCCTTTGGTCATAAAATTACCCTAAGTATACATTCAGTTTAAGCTGTCGGAAAGGAAAGAAGAAACATTTTCTTGATACAGATGAATGTTTTCCCTTGTAATCTAACAACTAGAAATTGAATGGATGTGTGGTTAATTTTAGAACCCAAATCAAATACAGAACCAAAACCAGTGTCTTAGAGTCCTTTCATTATCTGAAAATAAAAGGCAGAAAAAAACCAGCTGTCATAAATAAGTAATTATTTTAATTTTAATGCCACGCTTCTTGACCTGACAGCAATTCTAGTCGCACTCTGTCCTTTCACTTATCTGGTTAGGGAAAAAAAAGAGTATAAATCATGTTAAAGCAATTGCTCATGTAAATTAATCCCCTGGAAACAAGATACCTTCGCGCTGAAACAACTAGAGGCTCTCCTTGCAGCCTTAACTCCGGTGAGATCTAGAGGATGGAAATCACTGTTAAAACTCATGAGGAATCGCGTGCCGCCGTCGAAGAAACGAGCACACGGATCTCCACCTCACCGACTTTGAACTATTTCTCAGGGTTTACAGTGCAGCCCGCTCCCGCAGTCTGTCCGTCCCAGCCCCGATGCTCTGAGAGGTCAGCGGGGCGCGGGAGAAGTGGGGGCCGGGCAGAGCGGGAAGAACGAGGGCGCGGAGGGCCAGATTCAGGGGCCAGCGGCTCGGACCCCCGGCGGGACGTCGGCGGGCAGGAGCTGAGCGCCCCGGCGGGGTCTGCCGGAGCCTCGGCAGGCCATCCCGGGGCGGGCAGCGCCGTGCCCAGGGCGCCATGTTGTACATAGCAACAGTTGCTACACACGGGCCGGCCGCGCTGCCCCGGGCCCGGCGGGGCGTGAGGGGAGCCTGGGTGCCGGCTTGGAGGTAAATCCCTGATCCGGGCCGGGGCACGTGTGGGGAAGCCGTACTGGAGAGGAGCGCGCCGGGCTGTGCCGGGGCTGTGCCCCCGGGCAGCCTCGGAGTCCTGGTCCCCTGGTCCAGCTCCCTCACGTCCATGGGAATAAACGGGAAAAACCGCCGGTGGTGATGAGCTTTTAATTCTTCTATTCTTCTTTAATTACTTCCTGCATTGGTCCCTCCTTTTCCAGTACTGAAACCGTAAAGTCTTGGGGCAGAATCTCTATGCAACACCTAATCATGATCAGTTATTATTAAAGTGATATACCGTATTGTAAACATTTTTTTGTAACTGCAAATTAACATATGTAGTTATGCAAGGCATTAGAACATAATTATTTTAATTTGGTATATAACTACACATAGTTGTTTTCACATACTAGCTAGTTGCCCTTATTATATTTCTTTAAAATTAACTGTTCTCTTCATGTACTACATAAAAGGGGGGGAAAAAGAGTTTAATCTCCATAGAACTTGTGATCAAAACAGAAAAAGATGCAGATGACCAGATCAAAGGTACAGGGAGACAGAAATGTCCCATTTGAATCCCTCATTTCATCAGTTACTGACTTACTGGAAAAGATTCAGATTAGTTCTGTAATATAATCAGAGACCCAGAAAATGCAGTTAGTGAGGAACAAAAATTGAATTTATTTTGTCTACACAGAAGCCAAAGATTCTCATTCCTTTAGATACATTGCATTGGTTAATGTCTTCCCTCTGAAAAAAGGCACTATCTTTTCCTTCATGCTTATCCCATTCGGTGTAAACCAGTATGTGTTAAATAAACCAGAGAATGTGGCAGGCAAAAATTGGCAATTTTTCTTCAAGTGGTCTTTCTGAATTGTTGTGACTTGCAAAAGCGGTAGAGTTACATACTCTTGTGAAAAACAAGGTTCACTTGCCTGATAAAAGGTTTAAGATAAACAAAAAGGCAATAGGAGACAAAGATAATAAAGCAAATAACACTCTTAAAAAGCACAGCTCACACTTCTGTCAGTAACCCCCTTGTCAAGGACAGTTTATGTGATCAGGCCTTGCATGAGAGAGTGGAGTGTGAGCAAGTTTATTCCTTAAATTTGCATTACTTCAAAATGTAACTAGAAGCTTACAGAATCACTTTTTTTTTTTTTTTTCTTTTAACATTTAGTTATGGGTGATGAGTCAGTACCATATTTGCTGGGTGAAGGAACCACTAAAACGTATCAAATACCTATTAGTCATCTGGACTACAAATTCATTGAAAAATGCACTGATGTTAAGCACCTGGAAAAGATTCTCAGGGTATTAAGGTAAATTTATTTTTTTGCCTTCATTAATAGTTATATTCCTGTTCTGTAAAATTTGAGGGAGCTCTTTTCTATTTGTCTGAACCTGTCTGTGAGTTTCTAATTTAAAACGAACACACAAAGTTAAAGTAAGCATGCTAAAAGTGTGCCAACGATAACATTAGAAATCCAAGTCCTTCTTTAACCATCCAAAAGGTTTGAGTAACTCAATGATAGTTGTTTTTTTTTAAATGCTGCCACTCTATTTTGGTTCTCTTATGATCCATGTTGCCTGACTAGCAATTTCAGATGTCAGACCTATTTAACTTTTGCTGTAAATGACATGAGTTTCTTATGAGCACTGTGGTGATAATTTTGAGCTGTGTGTGTGGGCATTGGAAACTGGTTGAAGGTTAGCTGAAATTTTTAAATAAAAATGTTATTAGATGATAGTAAAATTGGGATGTAACAAGAAAATAGTCTTCTGCAGTCACTGTACTGACTACACATGGAGGGAAACATGGAGGATGTGGTACAGTTTAGTTCTTTTTTGATAACATTTATATCTTTGCATTTTAAAGGTCTGGTGAGGAGGGGTGTTACCCTGAACTTACATTGGTTTGTGAAAAGCGTATTGAGCATTTGGATCCAAGGAGCAGAGCTCTGAGAAAAGATAAGCCTGCAGCTACAGCCTCTGATTTCACAGCTGAAGAATGGGAAGCAATTAATAGTGAACTGATGGTACAGGATCAATTTATGATGGACCATAATACAATCACTCACTGTACTCACTGTATCATTCTTCTTGTGCCAAAGTAGAATGTAATTATTTGATTAAAAGAGGAAATTATCAAAGGATTAAATTCTTAAATTTATTTTCTTGCTTAATGTCACTGAACCTTAACTGCTCATTTTAAATCTACAAATTTTTTTTTTAGGTCACTTTTTATTCAAAAGAACACTATTTCTCTTTGTCTTAATTGCTTTTCCCCATTAAGAGCGGTGCTTTTTAAGGATAATTGCTCTACTGCCTTAAGGTAAAAATATATTATTTATTTATTTTCAGAGCTGGCTGACAGAAATGAATGAAGATGATAAAAAATCACAGCTCCTGAGAACAGATACACTAAATGAAAGACAAGATAACTTGCCTCCCATTCGTTGTTCCAGCAGCTGCCTTTCCACTAATCAGGTATCTCAAGTTTTTTGTGTTAATTACGAGTGTTATTTGTAGGTTTTTCTAAAACTGGGAGATTTTATATGTATGAACTTCTAATCATTGTGCCTTTCTTACTAGATTTATTTTGTTAACCAGAAAATGAAAACCTTTAAGCTCCCTTGCAAGAGACCAGTGCTTAGACAAAAATGCTTTCTTAGTACTGGCATGTGTATTGTAATAATATTTTAATTCTGATCAAGAGTTCACTGCCAGAGCAGATCTCCTTAAACACCCTTTTGTTGTTCTTCGATTCCTATTTCAAAGTACTGTTTAAGCATGTGAACTAGGCACCTTCTGGATGAGATTATGCCAGGAGATTTTCTCCAGCTGCCAGCAGACTTTTGTTCTGTGGGGCCAGTCAGAAGCCAGTCCAAAATAAACACCTGGAACTTGTACAGTGTGGATGTTGGAGCCTCTGCAGCAATTGTTTTACTCTACAGCCACTCCTGTATTGGATAGTGCTGGTGTATATGTAGCCTTTGATTTGGCTTATTTTATACCTTGTGTATACCTTCCCACTGCAGTCATACAGCATTCTAATTTAGCCCTTAAGCAGACTTAACAAATCTTCATGACTACAGAACAGATATTTATGTTTTTTTCCCAGGTAGTAGTTTCCTTACATTTTGGTGGGTTTTTTGTTTATTTATCTGCTTGAAATCAGTTTTTTTTCTGGCCAGCTTTTCTTGCTGATACTAAATATGGTGCTACTGAACGGATTGGCAGACAAGTAGGTGTGTATGGGATTTTTCTGAATTGTCAGGTGTTGTCATGGATTCAGTTCAGTCTGGTTTTCAAAATTTTCTTTGAAATTCTGGTACACTGCTATAGGAACTTCATTAAGCATTGTTCTTTTCTGGAGGTTGGTGAGTCAGAAATGTTATGAAGGGATCCTTACAGGTCATGTGATCTTTCTTACTAATTCCTATTTTTCTTGAATAATTATATATTAGTAAATGCCTGATTTGTGTTCTTGTATTGTCAGAAACTACTTCTTACTGTCAGCTGGTACATATCTATTTATCCTGTTGGACCAGGACATTTGGGATAGCTAGGCAGTCTCTGTTACGTAGTATACAAAGAGGCTGTGGATTCCAGCAAGTGTTTTATAGGTCTTTAGTACTGAGACTAAGGTATGCTTTGGTTTGGTATCTGGTAAACATATTTTGCAATGTATGTTCCTCTTGACTGTCCTATTTTGCTAAGATGGATTGTGCCACTATAGCTTTTTCCTTGATTCATGTCCTGTATAACTCCTAGGACAGAAAATGGTTTAATACCACGTGAACACAGTAAATCAAGTTTAGAATAGAAGCATAAAATGTCTTGAATATAGAATAGAATAGAAGCATAAAGTATCTTGGAATCTAGGATGCATGATGTTACTAAATAGGATGTGTTCTCTATTCAAAGACAAAATGTTCATTAATAAATAAAATAAAAATACTTTTTTTTTCTTCCTTCTTTAAACCATACAGCAGTCTTCAGATCAAATTTTGTTCTTTTGTTCTTCAGCTTTAGTTCTCCCTACCAGATTTTGGTGTTAGCATTATTGCCCAGGAAACCTAGATATAGCTTTATGCTTTACCTGTGGTATGCGATTTCCATTCCTTTTGTCTAAGCAGATGGCCTCTGAAGGAACTGTAACCTGTCCTGGAATAGAGAAGGGAGGCCTGAAACATTTTAAGTAGCAGTACAGATATATCACTACCAGATCCCTACTGAATAAAAGGAAGCTGTTTGTATAGCATCCACTAGATTTATACCTGTAACATGAAATCTCAAAAAAAAAATGGAACAATACACATAATCAACTTCTTCTTTCTTTCTTTCTTTCTGATAAAGATATGTGTCATCTTACAGTTTTTAAACATTTGGCTAATCAGTTGGGACTATAATTATTTTTCAGACATCATATAATTTTGTGAGTGGGATCAAGTTTAGAATCACTGTGATAAATCACCCTCTTTGCTAGAAAGAAATGCACAAAGCCTTCCATAATTTTATGTTATTACTTGATTGGAGACTGATCTGATGCATAAAAAAATCAGCATTTTCAATGAATCCATTTCTGGAAATTATTATTGATCCTAAACCAGTGGATTGCACTAATGGATACAAGTTTGGTAAATGACAGCATCTTTCTTGTTTTGTCTGTAATCAGATTTTCTTGCTGATACTATATATAGGTGTAATTTCTATTCACTACTGATAGTTTATAACTCTATACAGTGTGTTTTCTTTTTATTGGTGTGAATCCATGGTGGGGATTTTCCAAAAATGGACTGGAAAAGAGTGACGTTTATGCGATATCTGCCTCTATAACACAATGTGGAAGTTTTTGTCTTCCGCCCCTGTTTTCCTGTCACGCTGCCCAGAACTGTCTTAACTGACCACATTGCATAATTATTATTTTTGCTGCCTCATTTTATCTAGGAGAGAACTAAAGCATGTGTTTAAAGATACTGATATTCAAAAGACTGTATTGATGGGATTTCAGCTGAGTCTCCTTTGCCAAACATGGTTTTCTGATATTACTCCAGAAAGATTTGTGTCCTCAAATACCTCCTCATGCTACAGCCCAGGGCATGTAAAATGTATACAAATTTTATGTTTTAAATATCCACTGTGATAGTATCTAATAGCCTTTGTGTTGTTTTGGATATCCTGAATTCAAAACTAACCATAGAATAGTAGTGTTTAGTCCAGCACACAGGGCCCACAGGAGAACCAAGGCCAAATTGTGTTACCTGTACTGAAGCCAATTTGTGTGTTCATCTTTGATCCAGAAAATGTTCAGTGGGCTTCAAACCCAGTGGGATTCGTGCATTATGAATTATGGCAGGAAACATGACAAGCACAGAGGTTTTTTTTTTAATTCCATGGCATGTAAGTGTACATTTTTCATCAAAGCTTCTTTGGATGAGATCCTCTGAAATATTACTGATCAAGAAATTCCTGACTCTGTTGGAAGCACAACTTGAATACAAATTCATTTCAAAGACATGAGACTTAGAATTTTTTTAATTGTGGATTTTTGAGTCAATGTTTCTTCCTCATTCATTAAATGTACATGCTTATACATACTCCTAAGCTGGAGTTGCATTAGAGTAAGTGCCTTATGAGAATTTCTTCTGAGAGTTGCAGTAGTTTTGTTTATTTAAATTGAGGACTTTTGTTGAAAAGAAATACTTGATATTCATTAAATTAGTACATTTGTAATATATACCAGGATGGATATGTAATGATAACTCATGTTTCAGGAAGGCATGTTTAGGAGTTACCTTCTCTAAACATGTGCTGATCGCTAAACATATTTATCATTTTCTCTCGCTTCCTGAAAGACATAACATTAACAGTAATTCTAGAGTTATATACTACAAAATTTTGTGTAACCTAACATTACATATAGTCAGAAGTGTTTACAGGAAGGGTTACATTTGCATTATGTAAATTGAGGTGTTTACATCCAGCTGCTGAAGTATGTCCTTGTTACAGTGTCACCACTGGTAAAGCAAGTTTAGGGAGCTTCTGGTAATTTTTTTGGTCCAGTTTATCACATGCTGAATTGAACTGGTACAGATATTTGGAGATTGTACTGTGAGCTCTATCAGACTGTTTGTTTAAACACAGAAAATTGTAAATATGCAACTCTACAAAGAATTACACTGGTCTAACTCAGTGAATGCTGGATTGCAAGGTAAGAGGAGGACTGAATGACCAGGATAGGATAGATGGGAATATTTTGAACTGGCTGTTCCACTGTGAAATACCTGTTTGGAACCACACCTTGCTATTAAGTATTTTGAAGTCAATAAGCAGGGAGGGGCATAGAAGAAGTATAGTCTCATCACAGAGGTAGAAGAGATGCCAAAGGTGACAGCTAGGGAAGTAGAGTCCATTAGTGCAGGAGATGGGTTGAGATACAAGGCAGCCAAATCTGATTGTCAGAACTGATTGTTGCAGGAAGGTCCTCAAGATACATTTTAGGTAAGGCAAGCTTCAATGGTGAAGCTTGTCTAAAATCTAAAATGAATATAAATAATCTTGGAATTTGCTTTAGTGAAGGGACAAATGGTGACAATAAGTCCAGATACTTTGAAGTAATTTATTTGCAGATTTGTTGGGAGTGTTCCAGGGACTACCAAAATCTGTGCATTGGGTTCTCTTGGGAAAGGGAAGCATAAAACCAGGTTACTGATTTAATCTCATTGTCAAACACCTCATCACAAGGATGGGTTTTCCAAAGACTGAGTTCTCTCTTGCTGTGTTGAAAGGATGTTTGGGAAGATGGCATCACAAGATACTAATTAGAAAGTTTCACTCAGTGCCTCTGTGATGTGACAAGACAGTGGACAAAAAGTGTGAGACATGGGAGCTCCTCAAATTACAATGGTGTATGAAATGCATTAAGATTTTCTTTAAGATGAATTACATTTTCAAGACTGAGCTGAGAATAGTCATGAGTGGTGTGGTTGCTAGGAAAACATGTACTACAGAAACAAACCAAAAGAACCACTGTGAATTCCACTGCAACAAATTGTCTTACAAGATGACTGTTTGTTCCTCTTTTAGGACAAAAAATTACAAAACAAACGAAGCAAGAAAAACATACCACGGGATTATAGTGAATGGGACAAGTATGTTAAATCCCTTATATTTCAATTTTTAATAAATCTCACTTATCTGTTTAATTACACTGTTGATGTATACATCATGATGTATATAATGACATAGCATTAAGGTCAGCATTTTAGGGAACTGTAACACAGATGAAACTTTGGTTTTTCTTAATAAATATTCTGCTAAAATGCAAATGGCCCATTGTGTTACTAACAGCTGAGAACGAGTTAGTCTATACTTTTGTACAATCTGTGTGAAACAGTAAATCAGCAGAAAAATAAATAAAAATTGCTTAATTGATGAGATTTTTAAAAGCTGCTCTAGGGTTATTTAACATGGACTTATAAACAAGGACTTCTCTATAGCTAAAGTCACAGTTCTACATTGAAAACAAAACCAATGAATATTTACTTCCGCACTGAACCCCACTAACCTCAAAGAATGAGCTTCAGGCAGATGCATCTGTTTACTCAAATGCAATTACACTTAATAGAGGTTTAGACAGTAACTATTTTAGAATGGCTGGACCTCTGATACAAAGACAATCCACATCCTATAATGGTGGCACATCAACCTCCCAAGTTACGTGACAGGTTGATGCCCAAATTGTTGAACACAGAAAGCAAACAGCACATACTTGTGTTGTACATAGTAGAAGCTTTTCTGTAGTTCCTGAAATCTGGAATATAATGCTGTAGAATCAGAGTGAAGAGGCACAAATTTCCTGTGCAGTAGATGGGGATATTTTGGGGTTTGGGTAATGAAACTATACCCATCAAAAACCCTGTTCTGCATAAGTTTTGCATATTAGTTATTTTCACGCATTTATCGTTCAGAATTTGGTGCCTTCCTGCTCAAATGTGGACAAAGAAAACAGATTATAAAAATAATCTTATATAAAAATAATATTATCAGAACATAAAAATATTTTCTGTAACAATTTATTCTTTTATTAATTTATTCTTTACTCTTGCTATTGTATCTTTCCAAATTAATGGTAGAGATTTTGTTTACACATCTAGGTACACAATCTTTAAGTATTTCAGCATGCTGATTATAGTACAGGTTGTGAATTTTCCCATGAAACACTTCATTTATTTTGGATTATGAGTACACTGCAACAGAGTTGTTTGAAAGACATATTCCAATTTAAAGCCTATCATGGTTTTAAAATGTTTTGAGGATAATTTCAAAACTTTCAAATAATTGTTTTGGCAGTTTCTAAACAAAATGTTTAGAAAAAATGTTTCACTTCTTATTTTAAAAACATTTACTTGAAATGTGGTTAATTTATAATAAATAGGTAAAAGTAAGCTAGCAAAAGATCAGATTCAAAATGGAGAACAATTAGCCTTATGTGAAAAGGTTTTGAGTTGAATAATTTTTCAAAATGGTATGTTGATTTCAGAAATAAATTATTCATATTGTCAAGATTATTGTGAAAAGGCTATTTTTCTTGGTACCTTACACAGAAAAGCAGCAAGAATAATATTTCTTTATAGCATAGGAATTGATTATTGCTATATTTATTTTACAGTACTACAGCAGCAATATTTCTTGATATACATTTCTAAACACTGTTTTCAAAAGCTGCTTCAGAGTAGCTTTTGAAGTGTTTGAGACTACTTTCCTCAAGTTTACTATATAAATTGCTTTGAAGCTGTTTCTTAGTTTTTTTGGCTGAGGTTAATAGGGATGTTTGGTAGGGCTGGGATGAAGCCTGATGATACTGTTTCTTAAATTGTACCTGTCTTTTTTGGGGAAGATAGGGAGGAGATAGACAGAGATTTTTCTTGATCACCAATAACTGAACACAGCTTTATCTCTTTTCCTTTGGTTTATAATGAAAATACAGTATGCCTTTCTATCAGCTGAGGAGTCTTGCTATGCAGCATTATTGAATTTGTCATTCTATTAATTAAAGGTTTGATGTGGAAAAGGAATGTTCTAAAATTGATGAAGACTGTGAAGAAAGTAACTCGAAAGCAAGATTCTTCAGCAGGCCAAGTCTAGCTGCAATTGAAAAGAAAATTGACACAACTGGTAATGTCTTAGAAACATAATTTTTCTTTAGTTGTAATACTGTGTTGTGGAGTATGAATACTAATTTAAAAAGTCTATCATAGAGTTAAAGTGCCTTTATTTTTCAGCCCCTAGAGATGCTAAAAGTTCTTAGATCATCAAGTGAGCTTGAAGCCATGTTTGAAAAAAATTTAGTCTTGCTTAATAAACAGTAAGAATATTCATTTTTAGTTGGGAGCACTAGGTAAAGAAGTAAAGCATAATCTGGTATTATAAATAAATGGTAGAGGTTAGCCAATTGCTTTTTTTCTTGCATGCTGAATTGTATGCCTTTGAGAAGAGTTTAGTATTTTATCACAGAAGATAAAATACAAATTTGTCTTTTAGTAAGCCATGTGCTTTAAAAAAAATGCAGACTGTGAGATTCAAAGTATTTTATCTGACTGTTGTGGTTACATCTGTGCAAGTTGCTAGTTGTGTAGAAATATTTTTTGCTAGGAATGACAAAGAGAGAGAAAATTTTTATTGCTACTCGTGAAAAAGAAAAGGGCAATGAAGCCTTTGCCACTGGCGATTATGTGGAAGCAGTGACATATTACACTCGGTGAGTAAAATGCTATTGTGTTCTTTTATTTTAATGACTCTTACTTGTGAATGCTGTTTATAATTGAATTAATTGAATTTAATAATTGAAACAACTTCTTATTGAAGCAACTATTGATGATTTAGATTATTTTCAAAAGGGCAGAAAGATTTGACAGAAGAATATTTAAAGCACTGATCCATCCTGATATTAATTTTTATTTATCAGACGAGAAGGGGCTATATAGTGATGGAATGCAATCTGCAGGTGTCACAAACTTCCTCAGATTTTTTTAAACCATTGAGATTCAAGGACATGTTTCCAAAAATAAAAGGATCGTCAGAGTGTTGAGAAATTAAATAATTACAAATATAGTCTAACTCTGTGGTTTGAAATAGTAAGGACTTAAAAAACCCCAGAAATCAGAAGTGTCAAAGTTGTCATTTAGAAATTTAGGGCACATGGAAATATATGGGGTATTAATTACAAGTGATAAGGGAGTGTAATGATATGACACTAGTGTGGGATGAAATGTGAAGATAATTAATGAGCTATGATATTATATGGGCTAACCTTGAATAAAAGTATGAGAAGGTTAATGCATTTGTAGTCAGTGCAGATAAGTATGGAGAAAATAATGAATAGAAATAGTGTGAAACAGCAATAAAATAAATATTTAACATATTTTTGTTTAGGAAGTATCATTCATATTGTCAGTGAAGGAGGCAGGGTTTTGTAGAGCAGCTTATGAAATTTTGTCTGGAGGTTGCTGATATAGACAGATGTATATATATGTGTGTGTATGTGCACACTTGTAATGATATTTATAGAGCACAGTCTGCTTAACTGAGGCATTTGATGTGTGATGGGTTTTTCTTGTTGTTTTTCATGACCTGCAGCCTTAAAACCTATCTCGTTTTCTTTGGGTTTTTTACACAGACATAAACAAAGTTTATAGCTGTATTTCATATACCATAAAATAAAAATAGATAGTGACACCATGCTGTTCTAACTGGTCACTTTTCGAATTCTGTCTGAAATCTATTTTCTTAGAGTTACAAATATTAAAGTAAAATATTTTGGAGTTTATTATTAATAACCTGAAGTTGTCATCTCTGACAAAAATGGAAAATGTAGAATCTGACCTCTGATTCTTACCCATTGGCTTTCTTGACTGGCTTGTCAGCCTGTTCCTCTTGTGTGAAGACAAGCCTTCACGCATTGAATCACTGTTTAGACTAGAATGGATCTCCTCTTTTTCCTCACCCTCCTACCCTTTCTAAAGAGCATGCATGGATTATCCCACCATATCTGTTATCCCACTGGGATCATAGCTGCATAGAGCTTTTATTATTTTTTTTTTTTCCCCATGTGTTGTGCATTTGTAGACAAGCATTTGAAATTGCTCTCCAGCCAAGTTTTGTTTTTTTTCCACAAGGAAAGTGTGAGTCTATTGCAATGTGCTGTCCCCCTGGCACTTCTATTGCTACTTTTCCCAGTGAACACAGTTTCGTTTTCCTTGCAACATTATTAGCAAGCTTGTTGGCAAAGATTCCTTTACACCATTTTGTTATGTGCATCCCATCTGTCCTTATTCCTCAGAGATGATTCTGTTGTTACAGAAGCTAAAGCCCTACCTACAATACCACCCTGCAGCCAGACATTGACCTGGACAATTCATCCACTGCTACCTGAGTCTTTCCATTTTATAAGCAAGATCAAGAAGAATCCCATGTGTTCTCCCTCACCACCATACTTTTCATCATAATCCCCAGAGCTGTGTAGTTACTCTTCATCTTTCAAAGGTTTCATTTGGAAGTTTTGTTGGAGTTCTACATGGATGGCAGGAGGAGGTAGCAGTCTAAGTTACAGACAAGCCTCTGCAACATCTCAGGTCTAAGCAAGAGGCCTCTGAAGACAGTAAATCTTCTTGGTGGATGGTTGACTGTGGTCTCACAGGAGGGAGTCCCTAAGCACTGCTGTGGTTAGAATACCAGTATTGATATTTCTGTAGTACTGTTTTCAGCTTACAGTAGTGAAGTGTTTCTAGATTCAGGTTTTCTAGCTCCGACACGATCAATCTTCCCTTTCTTTTAGGAGTATATCAGTAATACCTACTGCAGCTGCATATAATAACAAAGCTCAAGCAGAAATCAAACTTCAGGACTGGGACAGTGCTTTGCAGGATTGTGAGAAGGTTCTAGATATGGAACCTGGCAACATAAAAGGTAAAGTAGAAAATAAAATGTCAATGTATTATTTTACCTCTAGCAAATAAAATGGTACATGTTGTTAGTTGATTTAATTGAGCTTTAGATGAGGTCTAAATACAAATAAGGAGATAGCGTGGCTTCCCAAAGCAGTTTTAATGGTTCTTTGGGGGTTAGTGAAGTTTTGTGCAGTTCATCCTGTTGATTTGTAATGGGAATTCATACATGGCAGCATGCTTTTCATATGATAACTATAAGTCCTCTTGTATTTGTGCAGTGTTTCCATAATGCCCACTCTGAATTATAAATTAATTTAAAAGTGACATGAAGACAATCAAAATTGCTGGTTTATTCCTTTCTGAAGTCAAGGACTTGAATGTAGCAAACTGTATTTGCATGGGTGGAGGGAGAAAATTTGGAAACTATTACAAGGTGCTTCACAATTCATGATTGCTGCCTCAAAAGACATCACATGAAATTGCATCATTAAAAATCATCAAGAAAACAGTTGTTACTAATATAGAAGTAAGTGCAGAATTTTTAAATCTGTTTAACTGCACTTAACATATCTAGAAAAAATAGTGTATTTTTATTCACTTTATCCTTTAAATACATAAATATACTTCGTTCTTTTGTAGCTTTGATGCGTCGTGCCACTGTACACAGTCATCTGCAGAATTACCAGACAGCTATAGAGGATCTGAATAAAGTGCTGTCTGTTGAACCAGAAAACTCTATGGCTAAGGTAAAGATCAGTGAGTTGAATATGGCTAGAGAGAGGTTGTATGCAGTTGTAGCATAAAGTGAGTACAGTTCAGGTTGTTTGATGTAACTGAGTTTCGAGGACACACTTGATCTGCTGTGCCATTGATCAGCTTCCCAAGACCACATGTTGTGGAAATTAGGTACCTGAATGGGCCCAGATCTTCTGTTCAGGACTTGATTGTGAGGAAAAGTGTTCTCTATTAATGTAATTTAGGTGCCCAAAACATTTTCTGCTGAACATGCTTTGCAGTATTAGTGTCTTGCTGATCAAAGATATTTGGGAATTTTTATTGAAAAGATCCACTGAGATAGGTGCATTTAAGTTTGAGTACATAATGAGAAGAAAAATTCAACAGAGATGCCAAACGTTTCTTGTTATAATGGTAGAATTAACGCAAAAGAGAATAGCTGGATTCTGTCCTTGCTTCAGTGTGGTTATAAATCCTCATTTCTCATCTCCAGGGTAGAATGAAAAAGCTTTCATACCTTCCAATAAATCTGGACCCTTCATAACCAATTTTGGATCAAAGAAAGCCAGGTGCTTTCTTTGAAAATCAAGGAGAGGATGTGGTCCTTGCACTACTATTACTTTGGCTGTTTAGGAGAGGACTGGTTTGTGTCCCTTCATTGGTACCTTAGGGATGTTTTGCAGATTAGAACAGTCCTTGCATTTGTACTCTATGTGTTCTGAGAATCTTAAGTAATGGGCAGTTTTGATAATAAACTGCTAGTTGTATGTTAATTATGAGGCCATCATGCTACTACCCTCACAATGTTTTTACGTATGACTTCTGGATGCTGTGCAATTGTCCCAGCTTCTGACTTCTGTCCAGCTCTTGCTGGTGGCATATCATAAGCTGCTAGCAGCTTGCTCATTGCTGCTTCTTTCCATGGAGTTACTACTATTGCTTGAACCAGAGAAGGTGGTATAAGCTTCTTGTGTCAAATTCACCACATACAGCATTTATCCCTTTTAGGGTATTCCTGGAGCTAAGTTCCTGTCCAGAATAGTTCTTGAGTTTTGTATCAACCAAGGAATCATATGTTTCTAGATTTGAATTGTTAAGGAGATTTTAGTCTTTTTCTTTTCTGTTTACAAGATTGAATAACTAAATAACTTGTGAGTCTGTGATGACAACTCTATAACACTCTTTGTAAAAAGATGTATCAAATGGGCTGTGCTAAGACTTCTTATAATACTAGACATAGATAATCACTCATTTTGATTACACTCTTCCATTACTTGCTTTGATGAGCAGTGCATTTGTAACTGAAAGCAGATGTCTTTACTTTGTCCTTATCCATGCCAGCTATTATGCCTTGGCTGGCACATTGAGAAATGACAAGTGCTTGGCAGGGCATTTTTTCAAGTTTCTCATTGCTTGGAGGGTCTTCAAAACCCTCTTGAGCTAAATATGAATGCATGGAACATATACAGAGTGCACGTCTGTATCTAGAATCACTAACACAAAAGTGAATTAGTTCTCAGTAACTGGAATCCTTCAAGACAGTTTGTCCATGTGAATCTTTGCTTGATCCTGTTCTTGTCTTTTTCTTGATGCAGGAAGTACCGAGATAGCACTTTCTTGTACAGCATTGAGTTACATTCAAAGTACCACATAGTGCTGGGTGTGTCTTACTCTGCTCTGACAATGTAAAGTGATTTAGTGGTTTATGGGTTACAGTGATAGTGCTGGGTTAACAGTTGGACTTGATCTTAAAGGTCTCTTCCAACCTTGATGATTCTAAGCACAGTTAAAGGGGTTTTTTTGAGTAATGGAAAAGTGTTATGGAATGAGAAGCTGTTTGATCATCTAATTGCAGTCCTTATTTTAGGAGAAAACCTTATCATTATTCAACAGTGTCTTTCTGCTACACTGTTAAGAGACTGTTGTCTCTTGGTTCTAGTCCTCTCAGTTGCATTTCTCCATCAGATGTCCATCTGACATCAGATTCTCCATAGCATAAATTTTGATTTTGATTTTAGGCTTTTTTGGAGCTTCTCTAGAGAACCTAGCGTTTTACACATCTCTTCTTAGTAGACCATGCCAGATCTCACAATCATAAATCTACTTTTTTTCCTTTGAATTTAGTTTGGTTTTTTTGGTAAGCAGTGCATTCAAGAAAAGTATTTATTTATTTATGTGATATTTTCACATAAGGATGTAAAGATATCTTGTGTCTTTATCTTGTGAGAGTGACAGAAATTGACTATTAATTGTGGTTTGATGCTGACTCTTGGAAAACTCACATTTATTTGCAATCTTTTTATATTGGCAATATTTATCTTGATAATTCTTCAGGATGTTACATGGATTATTTAACAGAATGTATTTGCTGTACATAAATTGTCATTTATATACATAATAAAAAAGACTTATGCTATTGCTGGCTTTTTTCTCTGTCATAGAAAAGTCTGCTAGAGATTGAAGAGAAACTGAAAGGTTTAAACCCTGTATCTGGGCCTCCAGGCAAAGGAAAAAAAATACTTATTCAAGAGATAGAAGATTCTGAAAATGGTGAAAGAAGAGGGGAAAATACAGAAGAATGTGAAAGACATGATGGAGATAAAAGTAATGTCTTATAATTTCCTGTTTTATTTTAACCTAAGGAACAAATCACTGTTTTTGGGATTGTAATGTTTATTCACACAATTCATCAATGTTTTCTTGCAAAGAATTTTGCCTATTCGAGGACTAAACTTACATTGAATACTTAAAGTAGATCTGGGTGTGAAATCTAGCATCCAGTTTTATTACATATCTTTGTAATTCTTTCTAGAATGAGCATAACAGAGAGAAATGGAAAATATTGCTATAAATGACCTTCTTCCCTGTGCCCTGTGTAATTTTACACCTGTCCTTTGTTGTGAACACAGTTAAAAATTTGTTCTGGTGAGAGAACATTTTGTGTTCCTGAGATCTTTCTGTCACACAGCTTTCCTGCCTTCCCATCAGCACACTTTTATTCTGTATTTTTCTTCCAATGCTTGCATCAAAGGGTGTAAAAATGATCAAGTATAATTTGTCAACATCAGTAATTTTTGTTGTTTGTTTTGGAAACTATCATTCTTATTTTTTGGTTTTTTTTTAATTGTAAGAGCCCATCTCAGTGCTGTGGATGTTTATATTAGAGATAAACAACATGTAATTCTTGTACTGGGTGTAGTTTACAAGCAGTTGAAGTGTGTCTCCCATTCCTGGATTAGTGTGTGATTAACTGCTAGGCTCTTGGGATGAAGCCACTGGCATAATCAGAATCCATGGCTTGCAGGAGGAGGTGAGGCAGCAGGGGCTAGGAAGGCTCCTGTTAGCTGGTTGCTTTTAGATTCAGCTGCATTGCTGGCCTCTAGCCTGCAACAGAATAACATCCCTAGGCCGGTTTCACCCTTCTCCTTTGTGTTAGTTATGTTGGTTCTTTAAGGTATTGTGGCATGACAGCTGTGACTGTCATGTTTTCTGTGTTTTGTCTTGAAACTAAATCAGTCCGTGGGTTTTGCAGTTTACTCATGAATGTTGGACTGTACGTGTGTGATATAATAATGTATCACTGGCACACAAGATTAGGGAAAATACGTTTCTCCGCATCAGTTGGTGTCTACCAAATCTCCTGAGCTAAAACCCTGGAAGAGAGGGTGCATCATGTCCCTAGCCTTAAATGTCTGTTCATTTGAGGTTGTTTTCTACTGTGAGCATTCAGATGACTGTGTGCCTTCTAGCTCCATAGGAAGACTTCCATTCTGTTGATGAAAGGTTAGGCCTTTAAACACAGGGAAGATCGTCATCTGACGCCAATGGCTTATGTGTTCCTGTGATATGCATAACTATTTCTGAGATTTAAGTGGCAAGCATTTTCATAGATTACTCTGTATTTTCTTGTATAACTGGAAACAAATATGAATTCAGTTCAGTTAATGAATAAAAATGTTCTATGAATCTAACAGCAATAAGTAGATTAAACATCTAGTCCTGTAATCACAGGCAGTCTTGTAGTCCATGTAGTCCAGTGATGTAGTCACATTTATTTCACATTCTAGTTGGTAAGCCTGATGCATTCCTACTAAACTTAAAATTTAGAGACTGGAAAAATGAAAATCAAAATATTTTTTATTTTCTTTAGGGCTGAAGAGTTGATTTCTGAACTTTGAACAAAACGAAGTCTAAATAGAGTGTAGTCTCTCTTCATCTTCTGTTTAACCAATAGCAAAAGTAAAAAGAGCCCTTTCTGTACAATAGAAATGGAAAATTGCTTGCATCATACAGACTATAAAACCCAGTATTCAAGCACTGCAAAACCTAAAAATCATGCGTGTGCTCAACAAAACACCTGGTATTTTGACATGTTATACCCTCAAGTTTAAAGATAAATTGATACTTTTTAAATAGCCCCTTTTAACTGAGACAAATTTGTTGAGCTGTGTGGTATTTGCTTGATGCATTACAATATTAAAGAATATTATATATATATTATATTATTATATAATATTTGACACTCCTCGAACTTAAAATATTCCTGTTAGAGTATTCAGTGGTTTGGGATTTTTTTTAGTTTTATGATGGTTCTTCCATTCTAAGTTTCTTATTTTAGAAATAACATAAATTAGAATTCTTTCTAGTGTGTGTTTGTTGTTGTTCTGGTCAAAATTCTGTCCAGAATTTTCAGTACCTTTCTTCAAATTCTCCTTGGAATTTATAATGTGTCTTGAATTTTTTTCCTTAAGAAAAGTTCAGAAGTATTGGTATTTATTTTTTTTTAGCACAGAATGCTGCTTTTGAGAATACATTTCTCTGTAGAGACCAGTACAGAAACATTGTTTTTAAAGACTGAAACTAAAAGACAGTGAGAATTATATTTGAGAAGTATAGCTGTACATTTTTTGCATGCTGTTTACTCAGACCTGAAATATTCAACCAATTAGTATTACCCAGCAGCTAAACAAGGTAACTATCAGCATTCCTATTGTCAGGGGGACTCCAGACTCCAGATGCTATAAATGCTTCCTGTTTAATCCAGGACTGGTTCTGTGTACTTCATCTTTAGGAAGTTTCCTCCTGTGTTCAGGAATTACACATTATTCACATTAGTACCATTTACATCACATATTATATAGCTGCCTTGCTTTTTTTTTTTTTTTTTTTGTCTCTAGAAGCTGGGATGCTCTTTGACAGTGTTTTGCTATGTTTTGTTAAAGTTCGTTGTATCACCTCTTTGTCTGTGACATTTAAATTTTTTTTCTGTTTTAATGTCCATAAAATGAAAGTATTTTAGCATGTGTGTTAAGGAAGTTGTTAATATACTGGTGTTTCATTCATCTGCCTAGCAAGCCTTTTACCACCATTCTCCCTGGCAAATAGACTTTAAACCTTTTTGGTATATTTGGCACCACCAATTAGATGGATGTATCTGTCAAACATAAATAATTTAATTTTTACAAAAAGGTCTGTGTGGGTAGATTTAGCCTATCATTGTTCCCACTGTGGAGTATGAACTTACTGTTAAACTTGGTATTTCAAAACAGGGACCTCAGCTAGGTAGAAGGCACTAAAGGAGGATCTATTGTTTCTACAAATTTTATGCTTTTCCATCCTGGTCAGTTTGATTTCAGTAACATTTTGTATGTTTAAAAAAAAAATTATTGCTTTCATTTGGGAGTTCTTCTGTATTGAGTCAGTGTCAGATGTTTTGTTAAAGTCAATTGAAAGTATCATTCCGATATGTTGGACAGATAAATACATCAGGTTAAGGGAAGGGGAAGATAGCATCTTAATAGTACCAAAAGGCAGAGTTGTTCTGTGAGAAGTAGTATCGAGAGTCACGCTCTGCAGAAATCTATCTTTGAATACTGTGGTGGTAATCTGGTAGGAAATCAGCTGAATATGGAAGATAGAGATTTTATTATCTAACACCCTTTTTCTTATTCTATGATTTTTTTCTGAATAAATTTGTAATAAATAACAGTGAAAGTTGAATAAGCACATGCATAAGCAGAAAAGGGTTTTTGGCATGTTTAAATGAAATCTTGAGAAGGATTTATAAGCTTTTATCCTGCATATTCTATATTATATTTGAGGAGAGTTTTGTGTAACATTATTGGTTTGATAGTTTGTGATCTAATTTTAACATGCAAGCATTTGATTTGGTCGTGGAAGATCAAAGCGTCCGTGTTGTAATAGGCGGTATTGAAAGCGTTAATTTCAAGGTGAGCCCTGTACCATTCTGACACCTCAGGACAGGGGTTCCCATGTGCCCAGCAAGGGAAAATGAGGCTTCCTAGTGATCCCTTCTCAATACCAGCTGCAGGTTCCTTGTAAGTAGGAATTTTTCCGTGTCGTTAGCAGTGTTTCTGAGGCAGATAAGCCCCCCTAGCGCTGGGATGCTGCAGGCTTCGGTCGGTGTCCCTGTGCAGCACCCCCGTGTCGCGGCGGGCCGATAGTTCGCGCTGATGATGCGGCTCTAAGCCGGCTCATTAACGCCCTTGCAGGCTCCGCCGCGGCAGCGGCAGCGCGGGCGGCAGCGGGGGAGCCCGCCATGGGCAACGCGCACAGAAAGTCCCACGGCAAAGGCGGCGGCAAGGCGCACGACAGGGACACGCACAAACAGAAGGAGCCCGCCGAGAGCGGAGGAAAAAAAGGCGCGTCGGAGAAGTCAGAAAAGCATTTGTCAGACCATGAAGGCGAAGTTAATGGCTATTTACGCAGTCATGAGAAGAGTGAAAGCGCCAAAGCTGAGGAGCTCTGCAAGTCGCTTAGAGGAGGGTCTCAGTCGGCTGGTGGTGGCAGTGCCAATTCGCTTCCTCCTACTGCAGCAAAACTAAAAAGTGAAGGAAACGAGTTATTTAAGAGTGGACAGTTTGGAGAAGCTGTGCTCAAATACTCTGAAGCAATTGAGTGTGTCGCTGGTCTAGGTGAGTGTAATAATGCCTTATACTTAAAATTTAGAACTGTTTAGAAGATTTAAAGGAGCTACGAGTGAACGAATGTTAGCCTGCCCCTGGATTTTTGACAGGAGTTGCCATGCAGTAAATCTTTCATCATTTCAGTAGACAGCAATTCATGTGACAGAAAATACAGGAAAATTAGTGAAATAATGTTTTAATTTTCTTGGGGTAGAGCTGTTGGCATTTATTTATGTTTGAATACTTACATATTCTAGGCGACATGATAAAAGAAAGCTGTTTAGAGCTTTGCAGTGTCAGCAGACTGCATCACTGCAGTGCAACTTGGAGTATGCAAATCTTTAATTCTTAAGTGTAATTTCAGTAATACTATTTGATTTTAATTGTAACTTCTTCTAGGAGAACAAAGTCCAGACGATTTAAGTATCTTGTACTCAAACAGAGCAGCATGTTACCTCAAAGAAGGGAACTGCAGTGACTGCATTCAGGATTGTAACAGGTAAATTGAAACCTCCCATGTAGAACAACAACATTCCTGGTGATGATTAAACATTTTAACTGACATATTGCTAGTGCTGTTTGACTCAGAACAATATCAATAAAGTCTGATTCCCTGTCTAAATGACAGATACCTTTGTTAGATAAACAATCACGTGGAAACTAGGAAAGGAATAACTTTTAACTTACTGTGTAAGGGCAGTTTTTAAGCTTATTGTGTTCACAGAAATGCATAGCGGGATTAAAATTTTTAATATAAAAGCGGGTTTACAGTGGAATTCTGCAGTAGCTTCTATGTAAAACCTTTGTTAAGCCAGATGCTTATCACAGTATTGGAAATTATTTTGAGCACGTGTACGTGTGTGTGTTCTCCGTTGGTTTGTTGTTTTGGTTTGGGGTTTTTTAATATATACTTGACATAGTTATAAGTAGTAATTACAGCTGTTAAGGAATTGAGCTAAAATCCTTTCTGCTTATTGTGGCTTTTAAGGATACAGGAGTTAGAGAAGATCAAACACCTTCAATAACTTCCAAACACTGTGTCCCACTAAATTATTACTGTATTTTTGATATTTTGGAGTATTTAGTATTTTCATAGATTGAGTTTATAAAGCTGAGCATTAAGGTGCAGAAAAGTATCTTAGAAGAATTAGAAATCATGTAAAGTAATCAGTGGAGTTTTTTGTACAGCAGAACTCCACTGTTAAAAAAAAGCCCTCCAAAACTAAAAATAAAATATGCATGTACCTTTGTAATACAAAGGTACAAAACATTTAACTCACTATATTTATATTCTACCTGACAGAATAAGTTCTCTGGAAAAAATACTCATTATTAGTATTTTGTTAAAATAGATGCAGGATCACAGACAGCTGGCCAAGAAGGCATATTTAAGAGCATTTTTCTGTTCAGGAGGTTTGAAGTATGTAAAACTTTAGCTGGAATCAGTAATACAGAGGTTTTAGGTTTTGTATTCTTACCAATTAGAAGCTTTTTATTCTTACTACCTAATGATAGTGTCCTTAATGTCATGCATATTTTGTGGATGCACAAGGACTCACGATGCTTAGTGGTAGAAGTAATACAGAGGTAGAAATAATGTAGAGACTGGGGAGCAGAATTGCAGACCTGCAAACATATGTAAATCAGGTGATGTCAAATAAATGTTCAGTAGGCAACACTATAATATATCATATATAGGTTACAATTTCAGAGTAAAAAATTATGTAGGATTATATTAGGAGAAACCTTCCCACGAACAGTGCTTGGCATTACAACAGGTTGCCCAGAGATGCTGGCAGAGATTTCCTGAGGGTTTTCAGCTCTATCAAGCCTCGAGCAACCTCGTCTGATCTGCAAGCTGGTTGTATCTCTAGCAGAAAGCTGGGATATCTC